GAAGGGGGGTTGGGGTGTGGTGGGTCCCTTCAGAGACTGGGTTGAGCGATGGGGCCTCGGAGGGTGGAGTACAGCCCGATGTGGCTGACCAGGTTGGGCTCCAGGGCGTAGGCAGTCTCGCCGCGTTCCCACAGCAGGGCGTACAGCGCTGTGTCCTTGGCATAGCCCGCCCTGCACCGAACGCTGCTGAGGTACGCCAGCACCCGCCGGGCAGCTGGAGCTGAGAACAGCATGGCAGGAGTGCAGCATTCGGTGGCAGGCATCAGGGAGTAGAGCTGAGGGCTAAGGCGGCGCCACTCCAGCAGGTAGTGGCGCCCGGCCAGCTCCGCGACCAGCATGGTGTAGAGGGCCAGAACGGCCCAGCTCAGCATCACTGAGGCCCGTCGGCAGAGCTTCCGGTAGACAACGCCGAGCGAGGCACCACCCAGGGCACCCAGGCCCAGCCACTCTAGGATGCGCATGGGCTCGGGGTTGAGGTAACCCTGCAGCCTCTCGGGGTGGTAGAGCTTGACGTAGAGGGCGCCCCGGGCGGCAGGGGTGGTCAGCCTCCTCTCCAGGAGGTCCTGCAGGACCGGGAAGAAATCCTCCGTCGGCACAGCGTCGTCCTCCAGCAACAGGACATGCTGGGGGTCGTAGGCGGACAGCGCCTCCTGCAGGCAGTATGCGTAGTCCTGCTTCTCCTTCTCGAAGCGGTTGTCGTCGCCCCCTGCTGGCCCACCGCTGCCGAACCGCCGAACGGTGGGGATGAGGCGGGAGGCCTCCGACGCCTCCCAGTGGCCATCGGGCTCAGGGTCCACGTTGCAGGCGAAGAGCCGGTAGCCCCGGCAACCCCGGCACGAAGCCAGCAACTGGTGCAGGGCCGCCACCACCTGCAGGTAGTAGCGGTAGGCAGCGGCCTGCTGCCGGGACACGGTCACCACCGCCACTACCGTGATGGGGGGCCCGCGCGCCAGGTCCCCCGGATCCGCCTCCCGCACGTAGCGCTCCGCCTCCTCGCCCCTCACCCGGCTGCGCTCCAGCGCCTCCACAGTCAGGCGCCGGAGGTGGGCCGCACGGGCGAAATACCGGGACTGCCGTAGGCCCTGGCACAGCAAGGGCAGCACGACTCCGAAGGTGAAGAGGTAGAGCAGCACGGCATGAACCCACGGCCTCTTCAGCCAGGGCAGGAGGCGCCCGGGGAAGCCCCCACCCCGGCCTCCGCTCGCCTCGGTGCACCTCGTTGTCCGCACCCAGCGCCCCAACATCGTAACACCCACCGCCACCACTCCCCACCACCTCTCACCTTGCAGGATGAATGAAACCACACCACCCCCCACACTTAAAA